AGCAAAAAAATAGCCATGCATTGTGGCAGGCGCCTGTAGTCCCAGCTACTTGGGAGGCTGAGGCAAGAGAATCGCCTAAGCCCAAGAGCTGGAGGTTGCTATGAGCTGTGACACCACAGGTCTCTACCATGGGCGATAAAATAAGACTCTGTCTCTTAAAAAAAAAAAAAGATCAGTTCCATTTGGGTGCAATGGCTCACACCTATAATCCCAGCACTTTGAGAGGCTGAAGAGGAAGGATCTCTTGAGCCCAGGAGTTCAATACTAGCCTGACCAAGATAGTGAGACCCTACAAAAATATATAATAATAATAATAATAATAATAATAATAAATTAGCTGGGTGTGGTGGCACAAGCCTGTAGTCCCAGCTACTTGGGAGTTTGAGGAGGGAAGAATGCTTGAGCCCACAAGTTGGAGGCTGTAGTGATGTAAGATTGTATCACTGAACTCCAGCCTGGGTGACAGAATGAGACCCTACCTCAAAAGAAAAAAAAAGCAACTCCAATACATTCAATAGAGGGTTTTTTTTGTGTGTGTGTGTTTTCTGTTTTTTTAGAGACAGAGTCTCTTTGTCACCCTTGGTAGAGTGTCTGTGGCGTCACAGCTCACAGCAACCTCCAGCTCTTGGGCTTAGGTGATTCTCTTGCCTCAGCCTCCCCAGTAGCCGGGACTATAGGTGCCCGCCACAACGCATGGCTATTTTTTTGCTGCAGTGTAGCCGGGGCTGGGTTTGAACCAACCATCCTCGGTATACAGGGCAGGCACCCTACTCACTGAACCACAGATGCCGCCCTGTTTTTTTTGTTTTTTTTTTGAGACAGAGTCTCACCATGTCACCCTCAGTAGAGTGCTATGTGGTCATAGCTCAAAGCAACCTTAAACACTTGGGCTGAAGCGATTCTCTTGTCCTTAGCCTCCCAAGTACCTGGGACTACAGGCACCCACCACAATGCCCCGCTATTTTTTATTGTTGTTACAGTTGTCATTGTTGTTTTAGCTGGCCTGGGCCGGGTTCAAATCCGCCAGCCTTGGTGTATGTGTCTGGCTCCCTACCCACTGAGCCACAGGTGCCGACATAAATAGTTTTATTCAGCCATAAAAAGTAATAAAGTGCATGTAGCTCAGTGGTTAGGGCACCAGTCACATACTCTGGAGCTGGCAGGTTCAAACCCAGCCCAGGCCTGCCAAACAACAGTGATAACTTTAACAAAAAAATAGCTGGACATTGTGGCAGGCATCTGTAGTCCCAGCTTCTTGGGAGGCTGAGGCAAGAGAATCACTTAAGCCAAAAAGTTTGAAGTTACTGTGAGCTGTCACGCCACAGCACTCTACCAAGGGCGACATAGAGAAACCCTGTCTCAAGAAGAAAAAAAAGTAATAAAGCACTGATATATGCCATAAGATGCCATGTGAAAGAGTCAGACCACAAAAGGTCACACATAATTGTATGATTTCATTTATATGCAATGGCTGAAATAGGAAACTCCACAGAAACAGAAGGCAGATCAGTGATTGCTGGAAGCTGGAGGATGAAGGGAACGAGGAGTAACTTTTTTTTTTTTTTTTTT